TTTGTGCCACCAGCTAGGAAATTCGCGAACTGGAATTAAGCAGTAGGCTTCTCCTACACCCTAAATTATTCTCGTGCTGATCGCATCTTAGAACGGATTCCATAGTAAAGACTCTCATACAGTACATCGTACAACGCGGAGTCCTCATCACATTGATTCAAACGTTGTTCTTGGTCATTTTCTTCTCGACCCCATCGCACACATGGTGGTAAGTCTCCACACTATGGCTATTTGGCTTCCCGGCTTAGGAGTCGCTACAGGCTTGCCTTCCATGTCAATGTGACCAGGCTTTATGCCAACACGTTCTGTATGTCCGGTCCTTCTTATTCTTTCTGTGCAGTTGACTGACAATTGCGATTAGTTGCCATGTAGGTCTTTTTGGCTTGTGAAATGACGGTATGCATCGATCCACTCTCGCCTAGGTTGAACGGAAGGCAGGCATTGAGGAACCGACGTTCAACCGTCAATGTTATGTCAGCCTTCATGAGCAGAGCAACATACCAAGGTGGAAGGGACCCGTATCCTCCTACTGGTGCCGAATTTCCCACCGGATCGGATGGCAGTACCCTTGGCAGCGAGGTCAGTTTCTCTCATGGGATGGATTTTGGCCGCCATCTCATTATTCTCTGCAGAGTGTCAACGCCGAGAAAATGGCTAATGTCTTGTGATAGTTCTGATTGCCCGAACTTGGGCACATATCGCGACTTTCTTCCTCTATCCCTTTTTTGTTCAGTTCAGACTGGCTGCATTTATTTATTCCGATCTTGCTAAGCAATTGGCATCAAGCAGCTTCTATTTCACTTGATATTTGTACTCATTAATTGTAACTAGAACAGTCCTTGGTACTATACCATATTTATGAAGTGTGGCGAGGTTTTTTTCTTCGAAACATTGCGCAGGCAGGTCTAAATAAGCTTCCTAAGACGTCAGAATCATTGTATTTGGCATATCTTGGATGTATAGGGGATCTAGTGACATGCGATTTCCGAAGGAAATGACACTACCTCTCTCACAAAAACGATATCAACACGTCCCCCCTCCCACGATAATGGGCGCCAACCGAACGGACCTTATTAACCAGGAGCTTGGCAAAGGATCTACGTCCGATCCTTTTGTGGGTGATGCATAAGTAGGATGAGGTGCTTTCCGGTCGGGCCGTCTAGCGGCCCGCTCCACACCTTCTCGCCACTTGAAATTCAACCCCATGGTCACTCTCATCTTATCGTTCGTGCCACATTATTAACAAGCATGCCAGTCCCTATCGTCGAACTTAACAACGGCAACAAGATTCCAGCTCTCGGCCTAGGTTAGATGGAATTTGCATGAGTTGACACCGCTCACAAGTTACGATTGACCTCTAGGTACCTGGCAGTCAAAGCCTGAAGAGGTGACGGCTGCGGTATCATACGCCCTGAAAGATGCGGGATACAGACATATCGATTGCGCTTGGTGATCCGAGTCTTGGGATTCAATTTACGTCCTTTACTAAACCTGTGCCTCCCTGATCAGGGGCTACGTAAATGAGAAGGATGTTGGTGCTGGAATTCGTGAATCTGGGGTCCCTCGATCGGAGGTCTTCGTGAGTCGACAATTAAATTCAATTTTATGCGATATATTACAACTTCGACCACCTCAGATCACTAGCAAGCTGTGGGGTACATGGCACTCGCGTGTCGAGGAGTGCCTTGACCAAACGCTCGCGAACCTCGGCACCGATTATCTTGATCGTGGGTCAATTTCATCTGGAGCGTGAAAGTATTGATTTCAATTCGTTATTATCAGTTTATCTCATTCACTGGCCGATCCCGCTCAACCCGAATGGGAATCACCCATTTATCCCCACTCTTCCCGATGGAACACGAGACGTCGACCACGGGTGGAAACTCCAAGACACGTGGAAACAGATGGAGGCAGTCTTGAAAAAAGGTATGTATGGATACCAGCAGACGACCTTATCTGATTTTCCACAATAGGAAAGGTCAAGGCGATTGGTGTTTCCAACTTCTCGGTGGCGAAGCTCGAGGAGATCCTCCCCACAGCTGAGGTTATCCCGGTTGTCAACCAGGTACGCGTCTTACTCAGTTCATATCGGAAATGATAGATCGTGGCTTATCAATTCGTAGCTCGAGTTGCACATCTACAACCCACAGCACAAACTCGTCGAATATCTCAAGTCAAAGGGGATTGTCCCTCAAGCCTATTCTCCTTTGGGATCGACTAACTCTCCGCTTCTCACTGATGAGACAGTGCTGAAAATTGCACAGAAGCACTCCTTGAACCCATCGGATGTGTTGATTGGTTACCTCTGTACGTTCCCGTTCTGTCACACCCGATGCAATAGAACTCATTCGCCTCAACTTCTAGTGGCGAAGGGGTTCGTTGTCCTGCCGAAATCCGTAACGCCTTCTCGTATCGAATCCAATCTTACTGGATCAATCACTGCGCTAGAGAAGCTTACCGCTGCTGATACTTCTGAGCTTGACGGGCTTGCTGCAGGTGGGAAGCAGAAGAGGTTCGTGCTCGCGTGCAATCCCATGAGCTCATACTTATAGAACTTGATGGTTTATTCTAGATTCATCACCCCTCCTTGGCGTGAGCACCATTCACCTGGATTGAATTTGGAGCCATATCACTGATCTTTCTCTTCTCTAAGCTATCGATATCGGGTTCGAGGATTGGCCTCCTTACAAGAAGTAAGGGCCTGCCACGGAAATCCCAAACCGCACTCTATACCCACGCTATGTTTTACGCTGATGAATACGACTTACTTCGTTGCCGTGTTGTAAGAGTTATGCTCATATCAGCACCCGATAATCGACCCTCCATTTACCTTCTAACTTACACTTTCCAGCAAATGATTGAGTGTTACATCGCGCTAGCTCAATTCCGCCAACGCCTGTACAGCAGACACTCTTCGCTGACGAAACCTCATACTTAAGTACCACGTCCAGGGATATTTGAACGGGGATACAGTCTAAAATGGAAATGTTAGCCCGTTCTTTCTCCGGCTTAATGGGATTCTATTGCCTAATTAGCGCTATGTGCCTGTGTACGATAAATTTGCTTTTAAAAAAAGAGTTGTGCTACGTTCAAGCTATCCCAGCGCGTTGGGATCATTCCGGTCGGGAGCATGATGAGAACGCATCCCGTACATCTTTCAAATTTTCATCAGAGATCAAATCAGTCGAGGATGGACGTATGCCACAAGCCTTGGGCGCTCCGCGCTTGCTCGGGATTTCTAGTTCCGCGCTGAAAGGGAGTTTCAATCCGATGTTTCAGCGAGGTGCGTACGCGGTAGACTCAGAAAAGCCATGCATAAACACGCGTAGGTCGACGGAGCTTGATGATTTGCACGATGATCGCACGTGGCAGGAAAGATACATTCCATACCCCCGGTTATCCACACACGCCGACATCCTCGTCAGGTTTACCTGAAACCAATTTGAGAATTCAACGTCATGATACCCCTTCTCCACCCAGTTTTACCCGCATCCAATATGGTAACCTCACGATTTCGCTGATAGATCGTGATAGGAAAGTCGCCTTACATACCCCTATGGGAGACCAGGACCATTCAACCTTTAAATGGGAGCGAGTTTGGTGCCAATTGCACCCAGACATCCCTATTTCACTTCACGCCATGCCGAGTATAGTCAGCGGTCATGACCTCGACATAACTTCGGATGCTATCGACGAAGGTACGAGTCTTTACATCTGGCTTTGAAGCTTTATTAATTGGTGGTACTAGTTAACATTCTCAAGGGGCGCCTCTGGGACGAAGAGTCTGAATTTGACAAGAACAAGGAGAAACATCGCTTCAGAGACTACGATGCTGCGTGCGACCGCGTCAAGAACTTCTACAAAGAACAACATGGTTTGTCTCTATCTAAACCCATCTTGAGAAGCTGCCTTACACCTTCTTCGCAGAGAAACAGACTGTGGAATTCAATATACAAGCCCGTGTCAATTTCAAGAAGACAACACGCGCTCGTATGGGCATCTGGGAGGCCATGGAGATGTTGAATACGTTGATCGATGAGTCTGACCCTGATGTCGGTATTTTCACCGTAAAGGTGCCGTCGGCTTTGTCTGACGTTCCCTACTAGACATCGCTATCACAAATAGAGCATCTTCTACAGACAGCAGAGGCAATCCGACGCGATGGAAAGCCTGACTGGATGCAGGTGAGCAGACCGCTCAATCCGCACATTTTATGTCTCAACGTCATTCCAGGTTGCGGGTTTAGTACACGACCTAGGAAAGTTATTGCTGCTCTTTGGATCCGAGGGTCAGTGGGATGTCGTCGGTGATACCTTTGGTAAATAATTCTCACTATTCATCCTTCGAATAGCCTTGACATTGGCTCTTTGCTAGTTGTTGGGTGCAAGTTTTCGGACAAGATCATCTATCCCGAGACTTTCGTCGTCAACCCTGATTACGACGACGCCATATACTCCACCAAGTATGGTATTTATCAGCCACACTGTGGACTCGATAATGTCATGCTGTCTTGGGGACACGATGAGGTAAGTTGTCCAGTTTTTTTTTTTTGATAAAATGCCGTCTCATGCCTTGCCGTCTCAGTATCTTTATCATGTCTTGAAAGACCAAAGCACCCTTCCCGACGAGGCTCTGGCTATGATCCGATACCATAGTTTTTATCCCTGGCATCGAGAAGGCGCCTACTCGCATCTTACCAACGACGAGGACGAAAGGTTACTTGCTGCGGTGCGAGCCTTCAATCCTTACGACCTATATAGCAAATCAGACGTCCCCTGCGAAGCTAAAGAGCTTCGCCCATACTACGAAAAGCTTATAGCGAAGTTTTTCCCTCCCATAATTAACTGGTAAACTCGTGTCACACCATACACTACACTCTAATCATACTTCATAGTCGCTCCATAGTTGATACCTAGAATTACGACGAATAATTTACCAGTAGATTACCACTACGGCTTATTTGTCATGTTATATCTTATGTATTGAATAATAATTGTATACCGACCTTAGCTCAGTTGGTAGAGCGTGAGACTGTAATGGTTACCCCAATCTCAATGTCGCCTGTTCGATCCAGGCAGGTCGGATATTTTTGAGGCCATGTTTTCATCTAGAGACATTTTTTTTCCCCCTTTGATCGCACAGCAGCCTTAAGAAAGCCAGTCTCTAGACTCACAAATCCCGTAACAGGACCGTCCTCGAATGATTTGAAAAAACATAACTTTTTCAATTTACTATCATTACTTTACAGATTAGATAGCGATCAAAAAAGTCAGGCATCAAGTTTTCTCCACAAGCTATCCTGCGCTCCAACCACGATGTCCAGCGCACCGCAAAGCACCCTTCCTTATCCTCCCATACACGCGGGCAAGAAATTTGTTGCACTCTCTGACTGGTTGGTCTGCGAAATGTTTCTTGTTTAAGATCTACGTCACTTAATGACATCGTGTTGCCAGGGATGGCACAATTACTACTCGGGATTCCAACGATTGTTAGTGCGGTCATGTGGCAATCGTGAAAGCGAGAGCTTATATTTACTAACTCACTTTTAGATTTGACGGATAACCTTGGATACGGAAAGGAAAAACGGAGACAGGGTAACTTTGACGTTTTGGCTGGACGCATGACATTCAGGTGAGCGAGACGAACATATGATACAATGACCTTCTTGACTGAGTTTATTCAGGGACTCATTCCGGGAGATGCTGGAAAGTGTCACGGCCGCAGGACATACGTTTGAAGAGTGCAAAGAGGTCCTTCGTCGGGGTACGTTTATCTGTCCCCTGAGTGACGACCTGTACTCATTTTCCTTCAGAGATCAAGCTCGATCCCGGATTTAAGGAATTCTATGCCTGGTGTGCCGCAAATGATATTCCAGTGATCATAGTATCCAGGTCAGCTGCAGTAAAAGTTTCCGATCTTAGCACCCCCTAACCGATCACACTCATATAGTGGAATGGCACCTTTAATCCGTGCGGTCCTTTCGAATCTCGTCGGCGAGGAGTCTGCCAATGAAATTGAGATTATTGCGAACGATGTCGATATCCACCCTGACGGCAAATGGGAGATCAAGTATCGTCACCCCTCGAGGTAAGTCTAATATCGATTAACTCGGCCATTTTTCTGAAAAGAACGCAAAACAGCGGCTTTGGGCACGATAAATCACAGGCGATTTTGCCCTACCGTGATCTCGCCGAACCACCCACACTGTTTTTCTTCGGAGATGGTGTATCAGGTCAACCTAATATTAATTGCTAGGTGGTTTTCTGGCTGACGATATATCTTGACAGACATATCAGCAGCGAAGCACGCCGATCTGCTCTTTGTCAAGGTCAAGGGCGATGGAGAAAACGACTTATCATCTTACTGCACTCGCGAGGGCATCAAGCACGTTCTTTTCGAGGACTTTTCCAAGGCACTACCGGTCATCCAGTCTGTCGTGGCCGGGAAGCAGACAGTTGCAGAGGTTCTCGGAGCCTAAAACGCCATCTTAATCCCAATCTTAATCATCGACATAGACAATCCATAGATCCCCTTGCTGGAGCTTGGCGATACCCCGGTAATAAAATAGACTTATGATTCCAGCATGACTGTGACCATTGACTTTTAAGCCATGGTATGTGGCGTAGGAATGCATACGGGTTCTTCGACAAATGGCGAGTGATGACTTGGAGGTGTATGAGGTCATCCATGCCCAGCATGTCCAGCGTTCATAAGGTTGCGTGTATGTCCGAATACAGCTTTCTATCACACTGTTGGTCGTTGGACACGTCGAACGTCCGATCTTACTCGGACTGTTGGTCACCAGGACCACAATGGGATACATATCTTCATCCCTTCCTTAACTTCATTCGCCTTACACCAGCCTTACAACGCCGATGACTGAAACTCTCAAGATTCATCCAGACATTATCACTTCTATCCTCGACCATCTTACCGTGTACAGCGACCGGAAAACACTTTCTGCGTGCAGCTTGGTCTCCGCATCCTTCCGGGAGGTATCGCAGCTGAGATCCTTTGAATACATACATATTAAGCTGGGGAGGTCCATGGGCAGGTTCCACAAACTTTTGGCTATCGTGGCTGCAAACCCATCGATTGGACATAACGTGCGCTTCATCAGCATGGTAATAGAACAGGGTCACGATTGCAGGTCTGATGCACTTATGCCGTTCTCCCGAGTCCGGGCGATTAAAATTGACGCTACTGTATACCCATCTGCCGAACTTCAGCAGTCACTTCACCAAATTCTACAGCTTCATACGCTCGACAATGTTGTTCTTCAGGGCTGCAACGCATTTCCATTAAGCATGCTCTCATCCTGCACAGCGATCAAGAAACTCGCACTTCACACTCGTCATCCCTTCTACATCGATGAATTGTGGGAGAACTTCAGACTTGATGAGGGTGGAGATGAGCAAATAAAGCTCAAAAATCATCTCGGGTCGGTATTGCTGGAAGATACAGTTGTAACTCAACAGCTCCTGGACAACCTCGACCACCCACTCATGCCAATCTCGCTATCACAACTCCACACTTTCATCACAGCAATTTCGTGGGACGAAGGAGTCGAAACATCTATTCGACAGACACAGATCATCTGTCTCATGTCTGCATTATCACTTCGAGAGGTGTCGATATCCCTTTCTGGTATGTGCTTGACAACAAACACCGTCTTGCCTGACTGAACAGATATCCCGATAGCAATTCCATGGGCAAGCCGCCTCGACCTTTCCCGGCTCGTGTGCCTCCAAACTCTTCGTTTGAACATTGAACGAATGGAGATCCCAATTGCAGTAGAGCACGCCGGCGACCTCCTGGAAACAATTCCTAGAGAGAGTTCTCTACGCCAAGTCACTTTCCGTCTCATCGGCTTCCCATACACAGGAACCCCTGTGGGACGGTGGAGTCGCATTGATAAAGTGTTAGGGAATGAGAGAATTGCCCCGAATCTGCGCAGCGTGGAAATACGCTTTGTCGTCGGTATCAACCAGAAGGATAATTGGCTTGCGAGGATTATTTCTTTTGAAATGGGTGGGCTACAATCTAAAAAGAGGCTATCATTCCTCCGTGGAGAATAGTTTAATAGTACAACAGGTTTTGTTTGTCTCAAGTGTCTTCCCATCCAAAGAGCAGTGTAAGTAAGATTTGCGAGGCACCTTATCGTCATCAATCCCTCCTCTTTCCTGCAGAGCAGTCTCAGCGAAAGAATACAAAAATGCTCAAAAATTAATCACGCACCAATATTAACGGAGTTGTCGTTATTGGAGTTAGATATGGTCGACGTAGTCGTGTTTCTGGAGTTGGTGCTGATCGTACTATTCATGTAAACCTTGTGGCCTCCCATAGTCGAGAGAAAGCTCGGTGTTGAATAAACAGGAATAACTAGATCATGCGAGCCACCAGAATACACGGACGGCAGGAAGGTAAGGGAAGAGGAGAGACCGGGTATGTTTATCTGTTGATCGGGGAGCGAAGCCGGGACTCCTGAAACAGAGTTGTGGTGTATGTGAGCCACATCAGGCGGATTGGGTATCGGGAAGCTGGGGAAAGCATTTAATGAGAAGCTGGGAAGGGTGTGGCTATTTTTTTTTCTAGATGCAGAAGTTGGATTACGGAATGGGTTTCGACTCGACCAACGTTCTTGCGCCACGTTTCCCATTCTCGCGGCCTTCTCCAATTCGTTTCGTTCATTTTCGGCCTCCGGTATGCGTATCCTTTCTCCCTCACTCAGCTGATACTCTTGCCTCTCTTTCATTTCCCTTTCTGTCTCAATCTTCTCTCGCTCAAGTCTGAGCCTCTCGAGGGCCTCATCTTGATGCTGTTGCTCCGACAGTCCTTCGGATTGGACCCGGCTTTGTAAGTCGTTTAGCTGCCCCTGGATCATTGCAAGTGAATCTTGAATGGATATACTCGACTTGAGCTGCGACCAGGTCGAGTAAATTAAGAAAGTACAGTAATTACGGCAGCCAACTGGGCTCACCCCGAAGACATCCAGGGAATACTTCAAGCGATCGCGGTAGTCTTTTATGACACCGGCATCTGACTTGTTCTGCAACATGCGAAGCATCATGTTCTTCGACGTTTGCGCTTTTGTGTATCTGTAAATCTCATGCAAAGTGCTGTGGGCGTTAGGCAGCCTACGCAGTGCGAAGGACGTATAACGGGCTTACTCAGACAACTCTCTCGTGTGCTGAAGGTATGTCGGCGATACCGCGGAAATCCCAACATGCCCTCTATTATTGCTGCAAATAACGATATAGACAAGTGCACACGCGTCGTCCGCAAGTTGTTTGAAAGCATCTTTGTTGTTTCTGACATTCTAATTTGAAGATATCGGTAAGTATTTCATCGAAAATATACCATTTGAAATAACTGCCTGTATCATTTGGATGATATCCAACGCTGCTTCAGCAGCGTTCTGCAAGTATGGAACAGGTGTAAGCTTTGCAGCGTCACTAAGAGTGGATAATACGATATTGCAGGCATCGAGTGGGATATCTCCAGAGCTTTGCGTGCGCAGCGACATCTTCGTGGTACAGGTTTAACCCAATACTGACAACGACCCACGGGTGGTCAGTGTTGGCCGTGTCAATGCCGAGTTTGAATGGCAGTTGAGCGCCTATTCATTCAAAGACGGCAATTCCATCTTCAACGACCAGACGCCTAGGTAGAGTGGTATGCCAGAAGAGTACGAGGGCAAGTAATAGAAATACAGAATGAGAGTTAGAACTTGATCGTCCGGTTGAAAAACTACAATCGCAGATCAATTACCACTCTCACGGAATGAGTTTGGAGATGACCTGCTGATTGGTTGAGAGGATCGGCCCGAGCGGTTGATTGCCAAAGTTATACTATAAGAACAACAGCACCATCTTCAAGGTTCTTTCAATTCCACGACATGCTGAAACCTTGATTACTGAAATGGTTCATTTACACACTTTTATGCATCATGGCAGATGCACTGGACACGATACTGACACTATTGGTGCCAGTATCCATGCCTGAAATCATCTTCCAGGTACGTACTCTTGATTCCCCTATCCTTGACCCTAAACTTCTTCTTGCCCAGGAGTCTCCCATCGAC